TTATGCTGTTAAAAGAGGTAACTCATTAAATGATGAAAAGTATGGTTCTAGGTCAGTGACTTAGGTGCTTCAAATCACATGACTAGTTATGCTATAATTTTCCATGAGTATAAATCATGCACTGAAAACCTCAATACTCAAATTGCAAATGGATGCTTGTCTGTTGTTGTTGGAATTAGATATGTCATATTTTCAGAAGGCATTGCCTTTAAATTTGCACTTCATATTTCTAAATTGGATTGTAACATTTTTGTCATCAACAAATTTATAAAAGACCTAAATTGTGTTACTAACTTCCACACAAACATGTGCTAATTTTAGGTGTTGAATTAAGTAAAGAATACTGATAGTCCTAAGATCGTTGTTGATCTTCATCATCTCAGAAAAGAAAAACTTGATTGGCAATATTGGGAAAAGGCAAGTGTAATTTCATCTTCTAGCATGAATAATGAGAATGTCATATGATATAGCACTACAGATTGGGTCATTTGTATTTTTTTAGCTAAAATAAATATTTCATTATTTAAACAAAAATTTGGATCTGATCAATGTGAAATTTGTTAATTATCCAAACACACTCGCAACTCTTTCCCTAATCACCCATACAAACCATGAATTCATTTTCTGAAATCCATAGTGTGGAATGGGGGACATCCAATGTTAACAAAATCACAGACTAAAGATACTTTATTATATTCATTAATGATCACTCTAGAGTGACACGATTATTCCATATGAAAGATAAATCTAACATTAGCAATATTTTAAATTTTAATAAGAAAGTGCAAACTCAATTCAAAGCTAAATGCCAAGTAGTTCAGGCAGACAATGGGCATAAGTACCAACAATTTGCCCTTGGGTCTTAACCGTTGGATTAAGGATTGTCCACACGTGTCGACACTCCACCATAAAATGGAGTTATCAAAAGTAAAAAAAAAAACATAAATATGATGGAATCATAATTGCTTCACATGTTCCAAGATATTTCTAAAGGCGAAACTATATTAATTGTAGCATTCTTATTAATTTCATGACCCCTAAATACTAAATTCCCAAACTCCTTATCAAGCTATCATCCAAACCTACCCTCCTTAAATCATACCATCCATTCCAACCAAAATCATTATATGCATCTCCTTAGTCCACATCCATCTTCAACATCATAAAAAAACAAAAAAGCAAAGATAGAGTACCATGAATGTCACCTTCTTCAAAATCAACCCTTTTATACCGCAGATATCATAAGGGAGAATACTTTGGGAAATTGAGCATGATATTGACCCACTTAAAATACCATAATTCATGCAAACTCACCCAAAACTAGCACCCATCCTTCAAATTCCATGAGTGATAGAACCATGATTCAGAATTAAGCATGAAGACAGCTCAACTCCAAATCAAATAACAAACTTACCAACTTTATGTGATCTTAATCAATCTATTACAGTTAGGAAAGGTGTTAGATCTTATACCAAGCACCTAATCAGAAACTTTGTATCATATGGCAAGTTAGCACCTACCAATCATGCCCATTTTACATCATTAATTGAGGTTCAAAATCTAAATAACAATAAGATCAAGAAATTATAATGGTTGAAATTGATGCCTTTGAAAGAAATGGCACGTACAAAATCACTCACTTCTAAGAGAGAGAATAAATTCTAAGAGAAAGAGACCAACCTTAAGCAAAATTAAGGGAAGTATGAATAGGATTCAAAGATTATGTTGGTGAGCAGGAAGATGACATAGTCCTATGAGATAGACGACAAAGAGATATTTGCTCCAATTGTTAAACTCAACTCCATTCATGTATTTATATCCCATGTAACAAACCTAGATTGGACCCTAAACCAACTTTGTATTAATTTATTTTTTTTAAATAAGGATCTAAATAAAGGAAGAAGCCTATATGATTGTTCCCCTTGAGCTTGAGAGTCAATTCAACATTGACAAAATTTGCAAGCTTCGGAAAAACCTTATATGACCTAAAACAACAACTGAGAACATGGTTTGACCGATCATCAAGGTTTGTTATAGTTCATGGCTTTTCTTAATACCAAATTGATAACACCATATTCAAAAATATATGTCAATATACAAGATTATCATATATATTAGTTATGTTGATGATATTATGGTTAATAAAAATGATGAGGGAATATAACCAGTTTAAAAAATCTTTTGACAAAAGACTCTAGTATTAAGAATTTGGGACAACTTCTGTATTTACTTAGCATGAAAATTGCATGATCAAATGAAATGTTTGTATCTAAACAAAAGTATGGTCTTGATCTCCTTAATGAAACTAGAATAACGGGATATAAGCCAATAGACATTAATAAACCAAAATGTTAGATGGGGACTAATGATGAAAGTTCTATTGATAAAGGAAGATCTCACAAACATGTAAAAAAAATTAATTTAATTGATGTATACCCAATCGTATATTTTCTTCTCAGTTAACATGGCCAATAGATTCATGAAGAACCCTAGTAGAGGATTAAATTTTAAGAAAACTTGTAACAGAGATGTGAAAGTGTTCACTGATGCAAATTTAGCAAGTTTTATCACTGCTAAGAAATGAACTACTAGATATTGCCCAGATGTATGAAGAACTTAATTCATATGAAAATAAACAAGATTGTCATGATATGACGTCATGTTAAAATAAAATTTAGGCTATGTCATACAAGATCCATGAATAAAAATGTTTGGAGAGACTACTATGAGAACAAAAGAGATCATTAAGTAGTCTAATGAAATTATTGTGAGAAAATAAAGCTACCATTAGCATTGCTAAGAACTCAAGCAATAATGATTGGACGAAACATATAAAGATTGGTTGTTATTTCATCGAGAAAAAGATTTATGGCAATACTATCCAACTTGTTTACACTCCTTCACATCTTCAAATAGTTGATATTCTAAATAAGGTCATCCAACGTAGAAACTTTGAGAGTCTAAATCCCAAGTTGGGTGTATATAATATCTATTACCCAAGTTGAGGTGGAGTATTGGATGCTACTAGAATTCATGAATTCCCCCAACTATCTGCCAGCACCTATCGATAGAGCTTCAATTTTTTTGCTTTTTTCAACTCATTGATTTAGGGCATTTATTTTTCTTCGTGTATTGTATAGAATAATGATCTGAATTCAAATATATATAAAGGCATGTTTAAGAAAGTCTTTATTTCTTGTCCATTGAAAATTCATGAATCACATCTTTCTATTTTCTATTTAAACCCAATTTGTACACTAGATCAACAAAGAATTGAATATATAAACTCTTCCACTTATTTCTACAATTTAATTTAATCAAATATAATTAAATATAATCATATCACGACCAACTAAGATCTAATTATCTTATAATCAAATCAAATAATATTTAATTAAATCAAACTATTGATTGAATCATACGTAAATTAATTTGGCCCTTTTCATAAAAAATTTTAAATAAAACCATAACTATTAGAAAACTAAATAGCATGTCATATTTTCAATTTGGTTCAATTTTTCATTTTATGACTTTTTTTTCTACTACATTAATAATAGCTTTAGCTGATGAAATAACTTTAAGTTTAAGGCATGCATAGTTGTCTAATTATCTAATTGAGCTACAACATATTTCATCATCATCATCTATAGACCATTCTCCTTCAATGGATTTATGGTTGTCCATCTCCTCTACTATCTCCATAAACTTATCATATGCATCCTCAAGATTCACTACCTAAGACTTGAAACTCTTTCACCTAAATCTAATCTATCATATTTCCTAGTTAACATTCTTGTATCTTAAGCTCATTTTTAACTTTTGACATCACTACATGTACAATTATCATCATAAAAACTAACTCAGCTTCTACATTTAAAATATTAAAATAAAAATAAGCTTCCATAGGTGAAAGGCAAGGGTTGACTTAACTACTGGTCTCACTTGAGAGGTGTGTGAGGTGCTATAGCCTTGCTTTTCGAGGTGCACAGACAAACATCTAGCTCACCTTTATTAACACTGGGTGAGCATCCAAATAATTTAAGAAAAAAGTGCTTATGCAATTGCCATCCACATAACAACTGATCCTAAAATTTCTCTCTCCCTCTATTTGTTCTATTGCCATTCTTCCTGGTCCAATGTATTGAAATGTAGAAATACCAAAAGAAAACCACAGGCTACGGTTTTCTTTTTTACCATTCACCCTTATTTTAAAAATGTAAAAGGATATGTCATTTTTATCAATACTAAGATGCACAATGAATCTGCACTATCATAAGGAGGTTGCTTAAATGAAGTTTTTATGACATTTTCATTTACTGTACAGGTAAAAGTACTTCAAACTACAAATCTGAATTTGATACATTTCTAAAGCATGTTTATAGCATTAACGCATGCATATTACCAAGTAATAAACAAAGTTAGCAAGTAAGCTTATCCTATATAGAAAGATCCTTGACAAAAGAAATATCAATTATATCAGCAGCTCAGCCCTAATTATAACAGAAATTGTGAAGAATGAAAAGGATTTTAATATGGGTTCAAGAATTAAGAATTCCATAATGAGGAAAATACGAATAAAAAACCCGACTGCAATACAAGAATTTAAAGAATTGATGTCAACTTCAAAATCAATGGTTCAGTGCCAATTATGCAAGAAGATTTATTTATCAAGCATAAATTAATAAAAATAATAATCAGATAAACCATAAGAATCTCAGAATACAGAAAGTTTTGAAGTAACAAAAAAGGAAAACGCTGCAATCAATTTTCTAGCATAATGTCAATCAATAAGCCCAAATCGTAATTTAAATCAATAAGTTACAAGATTATGAACTTTATACAAACCAAATTTAAGAGAAAGAAAATGGAAAACCATTCAATAATCACTTCTATTAAACCAAGAGAATATAAATCACAAAGAAGGGCGAATCATTTCAAATAGCTAGAAGGCTCCTCAAAAAAATCACAAGGGCACACGAGACAAACAGTAGAAACACTACCTTAAAAGAGGGCCACGGATAGGACTCGAGATGAGATGAAGGAGACTTTGTGGAAGAAACAGAAGGAAGGAAAGGGGGTTGGTGATATATACCAGCTACTGCCAACAACCATGGCCCAGTTTCACTACCCTGGTCCCTACTGCTTGCCCTCAATTTTACTTCCAATAGGGTTTTCCTCTCTTTTTTCTCTCTTCTCCATCTGACGATGATTGAAAGGTGGAAAGGAGATTTCGCATAGGGTTCCACCATCATTGCAATGCGGTGGCGGTAGTTAGGGTTTGAACACCCAACTGAGACAACAGCGACGCTGGAACCAATTCTATTTCTATATCATGAGGGTTAAAAAGACGGCCCTGCTTACTGGAGCCCAATCCATTTCTGTCATGGGTAAAAGAGACCGCCTTGCTTATATACATTTACGGTGTAAGTGGAGGATATGAATTTATATGTATATATATATAAATGGGAATATCTATCCGTTGTCGTCATCTGGCTCACTCTTATTCGAGTCGTTTGGCAGCAAAACTAATTGCTCGACGGACCTAGCCGTAGCCAACCATGCTTAGTGTATTCCCCTCAAAGGAGGCCAGCTGCTCGGCCGCTCGGGAGAGGAATCGAATGTGGGTTGCGGAGTTCCCAACCATACAAGTCCACCAACCAAGTTAAATCTGATGAGTATGAACCAATTTGTGATTATCATCAGTTTTGATTCAAAAAATTTAAATTTGAATTTGACTTTTTTTAATAAACTAGTTTAATGTAAATTAGATTTTTTTGACTTATGTATCAAATTTGTTAATTCATGTTATCAACAAATTCATTTTTGATTTATAAATGACTCATTTAAATTTTTTTCTTTTTTTTATTTGTTGGTAAAATCTTCTTATTTTTAATAAAATATTTTAAATTTATAGTTAATAATTTATATTTTTAATAATACAAATGGGTTAACATGTTTGATTCAGGTCATTCAAGTTCTTAACGAGACAACTTTAGATTGATTTTTTTTATTTGTTTATTAAACTACATTATACACTTCTTGATGTTTTGAGCCAATGCCATATGACACTTATTTTATGACTAGCACTTATTTTTTAAAAATATTTCTTTACCTACCAAAGGGATTGATCGTGCTTATAAAAAAGTTCATAATTATAAGACTTTATATTTTATTAATCTTAAAAGAAGTTCAATATTTAATTTATTTTCATGGAATTTTTAACAGAGTATTCTTATCTAAGCTATGCTAATTTTTGACAAATTGACTTACACACACTTTCTTGATATCTAATTCTTATGTTAGGATAAAAAAGAAATCTTTATTATATTTCATAAAAATAAGTGTATATTAAAAATAAAATGTTGAATTTATATGACACATATTGGAGAAATATCCTTGTAATCTATCTAAAATAAAAGAAATACAAAATGAAATTTTAAAATATTTAGAATGTTTCATTTTGTTCAACTTTATTGTATTTGGAAATAATTAGATTTTGCCAATTTTCAAATACATTGTAAATTCTCTATCATTGTAGTCGCAAGCTGCCACAAGCCGCCACTTATTATTGACAGACACAAATGCCGCCACCACAGCCAGCCACCCATAGGCGATCACTATCGTTGTCACCACCGGCCGCCATCGATGACCGCTGCCATTTGCCTTTGTTCCCTCTAGTGCCTCCACCCACTACTATGGCACTTGCCATCACCCGTCACCATCATATTTAAATTTTATATTGCATTCATTTTAATTCAACAAAAAATAATAATAATCACCTGCATTTATTATATGCTCATCCAAACAATTTCAAATATTCCGAGTATATTACACTTATTTTATATAGCATTTCATTTTAGACTACATTCCCTTTATATAACATTTCATTTTATTTTATTTTTTTTAGCAAATCAAATTATCTCAAAATACATACATAATAAACATATTTCTCAAATTATGATAGTTATGAGTTATATAAAGTCAAATTCCTTAGTTAAAATGCCATTTTTTTTAACAACTCCGTTGAAGAGAATTAGTTATTGTATTTTAGCCTAGTTATAGAAGAGCTATGTACAAGTTTTAAAATAATGAAGGGGGTGAAAGAATGGAGCCACCAAACATCTTTTTTTCCTTTTACTTTTAAAAAAAATGCTTCAAAAAAATAAAATTCTCACAAAATATATGGCTTGAAAGATTATTACATGTTGATATATGCTTCCTCCCCCTTATTAGATTTCCATCATAAACAATTGAAGAATTATAGAGAGGTTAAGATATTATGGATATTTACTAATTAACGTTATATTTTGGACAACTTTTTTATTGTTTCTTAAAACAACTATGTAATAAAAAAAAGTTATTTTTTGTACTAGAAAGATGTTTTAAGAAGCAATAAGAAAGCCGTCGAAAATTAAGCCTAAGACATCAACGACTTTTTTATTGCTTCTTAAAGTAAATTTTCAATACAAAAATTTTAATTTTTGTACTAAAAATTTTCTTCAAGTAGCAGTAAGAAAGCCGTCTCAAACGAGGCCTAAATCAGCGTTTATTGTTTGGATTTTGGGATGAGTACAAGCATTATATGTTGTGGTTTGCATGTTTTGAAGCCCCAGTATTTTAATAAGGTGTGCTGTCAATTCTTATACTTAAACTATAGAAGATAAATTATTAGTGGCCAATTCTTATACTTAAACTATTCTCAAGACTATTAATCAATTATGGCACATCAAAAATATTTTATTATTTCATTCAAAAGCTAAAGATATTATTTTATTTATAAAATTTAATTAGCATATGTTAATTTTGAAATTATGAACTCAATCTACATTAATAAAAGATTATTGGACTTCATGAAGGATAAAGACATGTCCTCAATACAAATTAGGAGGCAATGTGATAGACAACCTCATCATAGGCCTATGAGGCTTTAAAAAAAAGGAAGAATTTTTTTTGTACTTTAGAGGGATCACAATTATTTACTATTAGATTTATCAAATACTAACAAATGACAACTCAATTATATTAGGTGCTAAAATTTTATTATTATTTATATATTTTATTAATCATCAAATCATCATTTGTCTTATTATATTTTTTTGGGAACAATATTATGGATCTTTATTTTTCATATATTTATGCTGAGTTTTATTTGAAGTGTTAAATTTATTTATTGTAAATCATTTCGATGGGATCTATATTTTTTGGGTTTATAAACCCCTTTCATTAATTCTATCAATTAATATAAGAAATAAATTTTGTATTGAAGACAAAAACTAATGAAGCCAAAGTGTGTGATTGAACTTTATAATTTTATTTAAAAGTTTTCCTAACTCAAAATTACAAAGGCTTCATTTTGGACGGCTTTCTTACTACTTCTTAAAGCAGCTTTCTAGTATAAAAATTTTTCATTTTGTACTAGAAAGATGATTTAAAAGTAATAAAAAATCAGTCCCAAATGTAAATAATTAACTAATCAAGCTCACATAAGTATATAGAAGTGTTGGTATTTAAGATGTATATGAGATGTAATAAAATCAATGTAAATTATATCCCAATCAATAATATGGGTAAATGACTTACAGGTAAGTAAACTAACCTACAAATGCAACACCATACAATGATATATGAATATATAAGATTGATTATATTAATAAGAGAGTTGATGAATAATAAATACATATGCAAGTATATCATAATCAACATTAGCATAATTAATTGCTAATGTTATAAGAACAATCACATAAGTTATTGCTAATTTTATTAGTTTTTTTTTTCTCTGAAAATTAAGGATTATTATATATCATTATTACTATGGGTAAACTATGACTTTGTTTAAAATAGCTTTCTTATTGCTTATTAAAGTAGCTTTTTAGTACAAAAATTTTAATTCTTGTACTAAAAAGCTGATTTAAGAAGCAATAAGAAAGTCGACCCAAATGAAACATATATCTTTAAATAGTAGTGGTCCAACCAATTAAATTTTGAACAACTTATAAAGTAGTTATTTTTTTTATAAAAAAATGATCATCTAGGTCCATTCCTCGAATGAAGAATGGTTGCTAGCGTGTTTTTCAAATTTGCTCAATTCCATTGTGTTCTGAAGACATGAAAAAATGACTATTTTTTAGGTATTAGCAATAGCTCAAATAAATGCCATATATTTGCCTTCCTTTATACCAAATAGAAAAAAGTAAAACAAAATACATAAAAAGAAATACATTCATTAATTGTACGTGCAACCAAACATCTCTGATGTGGATGCCACTAAAGGTTTAACCCTTGATGCTTTACCATTTTGGGCTTGGGATGGCTGCAAAATATTTTAGGGTTCATGAGTAAGCCTTGGTAAGGAGTGATATTCAAGTATCTTGCAATTTAATCTCATCAATGATCAGTTATCATTCATAAGGCTAAAAAATGATCAATAAAAAATAAGAAATCATTTCGATGAATCAATAGTTGATACAAAAATTAATAAATTTGTAAAGAAATCCTATCTAAACCATTCACAAATCAGTAAATGAATCATAACCTACAAGTGTTAATATCATCAGTCTTATCTATTTTATCTACTATCAATCATATGTATTATATGCAGTCAATACATGTATATGCATCAATTATGATCTCCAGTATCATTCAGTATGACAGGACATCCAGCTTTATTATAATATTTTCATAATTTTTAACCACAACTATTTTCCAATTGGTTATCTATCATACATATCATAATTATCATTTATAATAAATAAATTACTGTAAAATAGAAACTCAAATGCTACAATGGTGATTTCTGGTGTTATTGTTCTCTTAGGTTAACTCCAAAACATCACAAAGCTTAGCATTTCAGCGCCACAGTTCAAAAAAAAAATCAGAGATTTTTTAAACACTTTTCATATTTTTGGGCTATTACATAACCAACGTATATTTCAAAAGATTGAGAAGCATATTATTCTTCTTAAGGACTATGAATGTCTCTTTAAAATCTGAGATGTGATATGCTTTTACAAATAAATCACCAACCCACACTACGGGAAAACACGCGATTACCATCGCACATTCTGGCAGATTTTTTGTCCCCGGAAAGTACAGCATTCGTACCGGCGCATTTTGCTACTGAAAAAGAACGACGTTATTTCCGACAGAACCGTCATTGGTAGTTTTCTAACGCCCAATACGCCGGGGTTAACGTCGGAAAATACCAACATTTTATTCTGAGCGGTAGATTTTACGGCAGAAATAGCCCGTCGCATTTACCAGCGGACAAGACGATGGCCATTTTAAACTCAATAACTTTTAACAGTCATAAAAGACGCCGGAAAAAGTTCCGGCGTAGAAG